GGGGGGAAGAGAAGTCACAAGGTACTGTGCATTCACAGTCAGTTAAGATGTGTAATGCATGTACATGGTTAAGAGTGGGTTGAATCAGGGTTAACCAGTCATGAGTTATCTTTCCAATTTTTGGGTAATCGGGGACTGCACCGACTTTACTGTGCTATCGTCTGTGACAGGTTCACAGTTAAAATTGGCTTGATAATTGCATTATTCACATGTCATTTGATTGGGTTACTAGATTCCTAAGATATAATGTTAATATAAAGGCTCTGGTGACTTAAGGTATCTCTAGTTATAGATACAAATGTAAAACCATTGTTTATACTTAAGACTGTGTATTTTTGTAGGATATGACATATTTTGATTAATATACTATTTATAAAGTTCTAATGTATACTGGTATCATGTCAGTTATCTTGTACATTAGATGGTAGCTTAGTGAGAATAGTTACTTTATGTTGACGGTGAGGTAAATCCCAGTTTTGCTGGGTGTATAAATATTCAGGTGTAATATTATTTATGTATCCTAAATGTGCAAAAAATACTTGCTTTAAAGTCATTTATACATTGATGACTTATCCATTTGAAGTGGCAGTAATTCACTCCACATTAATTGCATGTTTAGCTGAAAAGTTTAAGAGCAGATTGGCTTTTCATATATAATATTGGAACAAATATATTGTCATAATACTTTAATTTAGAGAGAAAATGTTTTGACTTTTGTTGGGGGAACATATTGTTCAGTTTAAATGAAAAGTTAATTTGAATTATTTCCACCATCCAACTCCAGGGGATGAAAGCAAAAGAGTAGTTGTTGTTATTTTTGCCAACATGGTATGCAGTGAAGGTACTTCATTAAATTTTTTTTTTCTTTCAAGAACTATGATGTTTAGAATTGAACATTTTGAAAGCAAAGTTTCATTGGATCAAATACATGTGATTACAAGGGTAGCATTGGATGAATGCACCGTGTAATTTGAATGAATTTTCTCTAACTAATCTGTATCTTCTGCTTCCACTGTAAAAGTGCGAATGCTTTTCCTTACAAGGGATCCAGAAATGGTTATGAAAACTTTGTTTCCCTTATAACCAAAGGTCTAAAATATTTTTAGAAACTAGCTTTTCTACCTCTTACAACAAATGCATTTTTTGTGGCGAGCTGTTCATGAGTGTAAATGATTAGTCTTTAATTTTCTGCTTATAGAAAAGTATATAATTCTTTAAAAATATTTTGTGAGGTAGCAATGTATCTTAGCATATACCGTATATACAACATGAAAGGATTAGTTTTGATAATTAGTTAACGATCAGTTATTCCTGAATCAATAGCAAGCTTTTGTATAATCAGAACAGTGTACCAAGGCTGAAGCATGTCGTTCTTTTCAAAGAATGATCACTTATTAACATCTGCTAATGCAAATTCAGAAGGTGTAGCGTTATTTCTTATTCTTAACTGATATTTCATGTTCAAATTTGAAATAGATATCATCGCGCTATCTCAGTCTACGAGATACCAGGCATGTCCTCCATTTTTCACCTTTTTGACAACTCCAAGTGATTACTGCCATGAAGCAGAATCAATCAAAATTCAGCAGAGTCCAAAGTCGAAGTCATGTATTTAGTAAAGTTTCTTATTTTCTGCATTCTTTCTTTTCCTTCGTAAGAGACAGCCAAAGTCCAGGCTTGAGTTGTTAGCGCGGTAATCTCTGTTTCGCAGAGCAGAAATTGGTTTTACATAAAACAGGGGTTTCATTTACAGAATTAACTTTTCCTCTTAAACTTCAAGGACTTCAGTGTTGAGTTGACATTTGTCAATTGACTTTTTTGTGGCATTTTCCACGAAATAACGGCCGAGTTTTCAAACTTAAACTAACTTTTATTGTGATCGATATTCTTTATTTGGTAGTTAATACCAAACGAATAGAAATTGTTACTTATTCCATTTACATGTAATATGTTAAGACGTGGAACTTGCATACTATGCACGTAAATCTCGCTTTCGTGGCTAATGTTACTGTAAAGAACACTCTTACAATATGTTCCGTAAGTAATAGGTACTTGTGTTTGGAAGCATAGTGGAAAAAACAAAAAATCAAGTTAGCCAGGAGATTTTTCCTTTCAAATAAGTATGATAGTCAAATCTTTTTTCCTTAATGAAATTTTTCCAATTCATTAGTGGATTACCCCCCCCCCCCCCCCTCCCTTTCCCTCAATAGGGAGCTTAAGCATCAACGTCTTAGAGAGGCGGACAGCGGCTGGAAGTTTAAAGTTCTTAATTCTGGTCCTAATACACCTTTTTCGTCGGAACAGTTTGGTTTAAAATGTGATAACGAAGACCTCGTGATCGATATATTAGTGTTAAGGTGCATCAGAGTTGGTTTTATTCTTCTTCCGGTTACCGTCCGCGCTTTAAAGCGTCTCTTCATAAGTTCCCTTTTGCCTCACTGTAAGACCGAGATGTTTCATCCTGTGGTCTGATCGTCCGGGTGGGAGGAGTCCGAAAAAAGCATTCTTGTCGACAACGTTTATTAGCCGAAGTGATAATCAGGGTCTGTGCTGTGACTATGACGTGCCTAAGAGTTGTCGAAGCGTCAATCACTATTACCGATCAGGGTGCTTTTTAGGAGTACAATCATCTCGCTGCTGCCTTTAGTTATTCTTTACAGCTTTCGACCCTCGCCCCCTTTCCTCTCTGCCTCCTCCTACAACGATGGGTACTGATTCACCTTTGATCTTGACTGAAATCGTGCTCCACTGGAACCAGCAGATTTAGGTTGAGTATTAATTTCGTTTATTCAGCTCGAAAGAGTAACCTTACTACAAATATTTACCACTTCAAATATCATCCTCTCTTGATCAGATTCAACAGTTAGCTTGAATTCTGTAATCGTCACCAAAACAAATCGTCGCTTTCTGTTTTTAGAAATTTTTCTTAACGAGACCAACAGTCTCGAAATTGCCTCCTAGGTAATCATTTTTGCGGTACTGATTGCTCCTAATCAATTAAGAGTAGGCGAGAGGGACTGCCCTCCCTGGGAATTTTAATTGTGGAACAGAAAGAAAGAAGTGCCAAAAGGAAACGCTCAAACTCTTGTTGCAGACGCCAAACAAACTATGCTGGTCGTTATGCTTTCCTCCAAATAAGTACATATTTCCTTTGCTTGTTGAGATATTTTTGTGTTAGTTGTTAGGTTATTGTTTTGTGTGGTTAGCATCTAAGTTTTGAACTCTTAACAAATCACCAAAGCCGACCTTTTCTAAATACTTTCGAGTTGGTCGTCGCTGGTATCTTCCTGGTAGAGAAGAGGTCTCCATTCAGTCTCAATAAGAAGGTTGTCTAAAGGTAAATTTCATTCAGTTTACCTTTTGTCAGATGGCAGATTTTTCAGGATTCGGCTGGTTCAGTTTGTAATCGTGGTTCAGTTTAAGACTGTTTTTACGTTTCTCCCACTTAAAAATTGGAAAGCGGTGCACAACTAGTTTAACCAACACAACCAGTTTGACGTATTCGTCGTAAAAAGGAAAAACGGGGTTATATTCGATTTATTTGATTTTACTTAATCCGAATATTTCTTCCCACGGCATAAATAAACCGTTAGGGTAATGTCCAAAATCACTCATTCATGAAAGTTCTTTCACATACTGAAGAGTAAAACTATACGAGGAACTGGGCAGGAGCCCATCTCTTTTATGATTGGCTATTATATAAACACCCGCGAAAAACCTCGTGGGAGGTGCTTCTAAAAGTCAAAAGATACAGGACAGGGTTGACTCAGAGGGTAAGTATCAAAGATGGAAGCTCCGGATAATGGGCTCCTCTCATGGGTTGAAATCCCGTACAGGCCTGACTCTTTTTCAGGCCTTATTTTCACTACTGCTTAAGAAATGTTCAATACTGCGAAGTTCGCTTTCATGTTCATACAGCACTTTATATGGTGCTCATTACAGGTGAGGGATAGCTCAGAGAAAAATGAAAACTCACAAATTGGCTTGTTGTGCAAGATGATTGGCGTGGAAGAGAATCAGGATTACACGCGAGCGAGGATACACGCGATATTCACACGCTTGTCGTTGGGGTCTGGGTTCTAAAACAACAGTGGGTAGTCAAGCAGGCAGTCAAGTGTGTGAAGTTTTCCCGTTTCCTCTAAGTTTGATTAATTTTTCCAGAGAGATGGATGAAGCTGACCGCAGGAAAGAAGCTCACTTGGCAAGAAAAATTGAACTTGAAAGACAGCGTGAAGAAATTCTTCGTGAAAGGGAGAGACTTCTTTCTCTGAAGAGTGAAATTGGTGCAACAGATACGAACTCTTCAAGAAATAGCTCAACGCGTTCGTCTACATTGAGTGTACAGATTAAGAAAACGAAAAACAAAATTCCAGAGTTTGAAAGAAAAGTTCAAACGCTTAGAAAGGAAAACCAAGCTAGAACTGATTTATTGAGAAAACCTTACGATGGAGAAATGGGAATCGGTACGTACGAATCCTGGCAGTTGGAGGATTTCTATTTCGTTCGTGAGTTTGTACGATCATGGGTCGACGAGGTTTTGGATTTTATCGTTCCAGAACGCCCACGAGTAAAACCTGACTATGATACCCTAGGTACTGCTGAAGGGTTTTTCGAAGAACTTGATGTTGAAAGAAAACACGATGAAATTCTTCAGGTGAGCCTCGACATTGAACAGGGCATTTTGACAGATGTCATTTACCAGATTGCCAAGGAAACAGCTGCTGAATTGGTGGCTTTTGAGGTTCAAACTAGGACCATGCTAGATAGAATTATACTGGATTCTTTTGATCCTCGCTCTCAATCAGCTGATCAGAGAAAGATTTCCCTACTGAACAATGCTTTGTCTCAGTTCAAAAAGGAAGCCCTGAAGAAAAGAGAGGTTTGGTCTCACAGTCAATCATTTCACAGAGATGAGAATGTAAATGATACTTCTGTGATAGTTGATGAAGAAGAAGATACTTTTGATGGAACTGTGCTACATTTTCATGACATCACACCTTTCAGTGATGTACCTGATGCTAATCTCCCTCCAGAGCAAGTTGACTTTCAAAATAAAGAATCAGAGTTTTGGATGGGGAACACTGTTGACCTGTGCACACTGCCTTTACCAAGACGTTATAGAGGTGTCTCTTGTACTGCATTGTCTCCTGATAACAGCCTTATTGCTCTGGGAACAGTTCAAGGAGACATTGTGATCTGGGATTTAGCTACCTTTCCACCACGCATATTGAGAAGCAGCCGTGGTAATAACTCTGCTGTTGTTCAACTTCACTGGAGTTTTGACTCTTCACAAGTGGTTAGTCTAAATGATTATGGTGCCATCACACTATGGTCACTTGGCAACACAATATCCATACCTTACGAAGTGAAATCATTTGAGCCTTTGGAGGTTAATATTGGTTTTAAACCTTCTGCTCTAATTCCATTGTTGACTCTAGAGCGAAGAGACTTTCTGTTCACAAAAGGACCATTTTCAGATTCCAGAGATTTATCAAGTGAAGCAACAGCAGTAGCTTTTCATCCTTCAGCAACACTTCTGGGAAGGCAAGCATTTTTGATGGTGGGGTTCAGTAATGGGAACATTTTGAAGCTTAGATTCAACAAAATGGTGTCAATCATGTCCTTTCCGCAGGTTCAACCAGCCAATGGTATAACACATAAGATTGGTAAAGATGTTGATGCTGAACTATTTAAAGAACATTGTCACAAGATTGTGCTTATAACATTTGTGAACAACATTTCACCTATGGTAACTGTTGATGAAAAAGGATTTATCAACATATGGGAATACTCCAGTGAATGCTTAACTGGATTTGGCTGGTTTGTTCCCAGCACTAAGTACAGGCTGAACATGGTGGAGATGACATACGAGCCTGTTCTTGGAACACAGGAGAAAGTAGAATTCACAGATGAAGTGAAAGGTCCAAAGCATAAACACCATCATTTGAGGTAAAAGTGTTTCCTGTCTCAGGTTGAAGTTCTTACTTTAAGCCTGTTTGTTCAAAGGATGGATAACACTATCCAATGGATGAATTGCTATCCAGCAGATAAATATTAACAAATGATACTGTGCTATCCAACCAGATAGAGAATTACTGGTATCCAGTGGATAGTGTTATTGACCCTCTCTTGATATAGACACATGTCTGGCATGTGTGTGCACCAAAAATTAAAGGTGATTTGTTTGATATACCACTGAATACTTCTATAAAATGTTGTATGTTATCTACAATATAGCGATTGCCTGTAATACAGTCACTATTGGTGATGTGGGCTGAGTGAAAATGAAAAAGTACACCATGTTTTACTGAAAAATGAAGAAATGTTCATTTACTTAGCATAAATTTATTAGGACATTTTGGTTATTATCATTCAAATTTTTGAGCATGCCAAGTTAAAATAATTTTAAAATTTTTTTAGGCAGAAAATGGTTCAAAATCGTATAAAGACACAGAGTTACATCAATTCTCTTCGTCTGGGAAAACCATGGCAGACTCAAGAGAAGGACAACAAGGTTACCAAAATATTTGCACCAAAAAATGTTCCTGAATCAGGATCAACTTTCCACCATGTGACTTATTATCGGAGGTCAGGCCAGTTGGCATCTTATGTCACCAAGGTTTACAAGCCATTGCAAATTCCATGTTCAAAGTTCATCTTATCCAAACAAAACTTTGCAGGCACCAGACTTGTGTTCATGCTTCTGTTTCCAGTGGCAGAACCAAAGGAAGCCCATGTTTCTCTGGTTATCATCAATCTTGAACCAACAGTGTCTGTTAGTAAGAATTACATGCACATTGCTCTGGACAAAGATGATTATGAAAGATGTCTTTCTGGAAGTACCTGCTCTTTTGGAATCTCTCATGCTATAGATGCCACAGGAAGTGAGTACATTGTGGCAAATGTGAATGGAAATTTATCTGCAGTTTCCATGACAACAGGAAATGAAGTTATGGCAGAAACTCAGGAGGGATGGGTGGGTTGCCATCTCAGTCTCAAGAAAGGTCAAGTACCTCCAACTTCCAAGGTAGAAGTTGCTAGCACATCCAAAGGTCTCCAAGTGTTGTTGTATACCCACACACTAAATTCTGCAGTTTTACTGCAGGTGAGAGATGAGAACACCCAAGAGCAACGTAAACAAACATGGATTGCTTTCCAGCAGTGGATACATGTTGGCGCTAAGAATACTGAATGTGTTCCAGTCACTTTGCACACAATAAGGAAACATGATTGGACCTTTGAGGGACACTCAGATGTGCACATTCAGTGTTTCATGGAGTCTTTGGTTCTTGACTTGATTGATGACGCAGTCCAAATAGCTGAGGGTTCATTTACCAGTGAACAACAACAAAGGCTTCATGCTGAAAACTTTCAGATTCCATTCTTGAGAAAGAGTTTTCAGGAAACACCACAAGATGCTGACCAAGGGAACATGTCTTCCTGGCATGACAGGCAGTCAGTGGTGTCAACACTGTGGGAATAGACTCAGTTTTAATAGCTGAAATTTAGATGTAGGAAGTAGTTTTGTAATATTCTTGCCATAATTCGCATATGGATAAATCTTGATTTCCTAAGTTTTGATCCGCATGTACAATCTGAAGCAATTTGGTTGCATCCAACTTGTCAGAGTGACTCATTTTACGATTTACATGTACATGAAAAATGTATATGAATCTCATTTACTACAAAGACTGCTGTGGCTGGTGCTGTAGAATTTTCAGACATAATGAGTCCAGCAAATGAAACCATACCTGTTTTTTCATAAATGTTTGTCATTTGTCTGTTGATGGCACCAAACAAATTGATGAAGATGACTGTAGATCTAGATTTTTTTAATGAATATTTGGAGAACAAAATTGACTCAGCAATGTGCAAAATTTCAAAAACCTTTTTCGGGACAACACAAACAGGATTCCTGTAAGCGTTCACTTTTAACCAGTTTTAAGTGAACGCTTACAGGACTCCTGTTTGTGTTGTCCTGAAAAAGGTTTTTGAAACTTTGCACATTGCTGAGTCAATTTTATTCTCCAAATATTCAAAGTAAATGGTGGGAAACTTTACAGTTAGGTTATTGGGTCAACAAAGAAACACTCAATACACACTTAAGCAAAATGAAAATTAATTAAAGTGATTAGATCAGTGTACAAATGTTGCTATTACTTGCTGAGATCTTTTGGAACCCAGCCCCCCACCCCCTCCTCCTCAAAAACTTTTCGGTCTTTCCTTCATTCCTTTTTATCTGTCTCTTACTTTATGTTGTCAGTTAGTTTAATCAGATTTTCTTGAAGGAGAAGTGGTGTACCGGAAGGGAGGGGAGGTGAGAATAGAGTGTTCTGCCGTAGGCCGAGGCAAACTCTGGAGAGCCTGGAACCAAAGGTTTCCCCAGTCTTTAAGAATTAGCAGAGCTAACATGGCGGAGAGCAGCTCGTTAGGATTATCAAGTGTTCCTGATGTAGAGATTGATGCCAATGGACTTTTTAAATACGTTCTTATCAAAGTTATAGATCCTTCTAATGAGGATACTTACAAGTGCATAGTCAGAGGATTTGATTGGGCAAATTACCATGGTAAGCATGTCGACAGATCTTCACGTGTTTCATATCTTCCCATTCTTTATGAAAGCCGCTTCATGACAGTCGATGAAAGGAAAACTGGTCAAATCGCCCGAAAGTCATCACGTCCGAAGTCGTGTCGCCCGGAACCTGAGTCATGTCGCCCGAAATTCTAGTCATGTCGCCTGAAATAAAAAGTCAGGTCGCTCGAAGAAACAAATATCAGACTATAAATAGGTTATAAAGTTGAGAAATATGTGACACTAAAGCGATGTCTGATTGCGACAACACCAGTGAGGAAGATGATCAGAATAGAAATATGTTTGGTAAAATTTCCGCACAGCCCCATCCTTCATTATGCATTCAGTTATTGGATAGAAAAAATCGATGACAAAAACAATAGATTGCCATTGGGAAAACAGATTTGTTTTACAATAGTATGGGGCTGTGCGGAAATTTTACCCACCATTTGAGTGACTACACAGAAATCGATCTTATGGTCAGAGCTGAAATATGTTTGAGCAAATATGTTTGAGCAATGACTTTAACAACAAAATAAAGCGTTGTTTGTTTCTATAACAACAAAATACAGTGTTGCCCCATCTGTTTGATATCCACTTGTACTGACCAACGTACACTGACTCATACCCACTGACATAGCCACTACTGCCCACTGAAGTTTCATAAACTTGAGGAAATTTATCACTAAAGCAGTGTTGGTTTCATGGTGCATTATGAAGACTTAAACTACACAGAAAATGCAGTTGATCATATGGTCTGAATTGATATATGTTTAACTCAGGATTTTGGACGTGAAGTAATGTTTATTTTGCTATTTATTTGTTATTTTGTCCCTTTTCCTCCTAATTGTTGTTAGTGATGCGACTGACTGGTGTATAAAAGCCTGTGTTACATCATTGAATATTTTTAATAATTTTGTTCCACATCTTTCTTTCAGCTGATATTTATGATAAAATAGAGGAGGAAATTGGAGAAATGAGAATGAAAACTGAATGTTTAGGTGGAGGCAGGATACAACATGACAGACTTGAAAAAAAAATCCTTGTGTATGGTTATTCTGTGGTAGGTTTCGTCTTCAGGATTAATTAAGATGCTCAGCTATTTTCGAACTATTATTAGGTCATATTGCAGTGTGAGACCAAACTTGAGGAAAAAATCTAAACTATAAAAATATCTACACAGCAGAGATAAATTAGAAAAATATATTTACAGTAGCTCTGGGACAGCTTCATAATCAGTTTGGAATAACCCACAATTTAATCTGAGGATGTTGTGTAGACTGTTTTAGAGGATAGTTTCATCCAGTACAGTAGCCTGGAGAGCCTCTTTGTTTTGCATATGCATTTATACCTGGGGAAAATTTGATCTCAGATGCTCAAGTGGCAAAACTAAAGCTTAATACATGGGCCATATTAGTTCTGGACCAGTCATGCATTTTATTACTAGTCGTTTAGTCAATCTCTGTATCTGAAAGATATACTGATACACATAATTTATTTACTAAGTTAATTGCAGGGGCCTTGAAATTGCCATTCAGCCATGCTGCTAGTGTTCTTATTGTACTTTTTATGTTATAGAGAAAGGTGGATT